TCCGAACTGGAGGCGGTGCACCTTGAAAGCCCCCTGTGCGTCGTGATAGTCTGAGCCTCAGCCGTGGCAGCATCACCCGGCAATTGTTGATACGCCTGGGCCAAGTCCAATTTGCCAAACACCCGGGCCCCCGCTAAAGCGGCCAACACATGGCTCACCACTGGCACCGGATATGCGTGAGCCTGCAGGGCTTTGTTAAGCATGCATTAGTAATCCGCACAAATGCGTACTTCCTCATTCGGCTTAACCGGGGTGACTATGGGGGTTTCCCACTGGGCTGACAGGACCAGTTCCAGGACCAATGTTCCCTCTAAGCTGTGGAGTCTTGTGAGCAAAAATCCTACTTTGTGAGCTACAGGCATCAAAGTTATGAGCAAGCGATTTGGCTACTGCATACATTAGTTTGCTCTGGAGTCATCGTTCCTGAGCTAAGACAAAAATCTGTGAGCTAGAGGCTAAAAAACTGTGAGCTAGCTCACACTAACTCAGCTTAGAGGGAACACTGATCTCCACAGGATTCTTATTAAAGTTCCGTAAAGCGAACCCCTGTTTCCGCAGGGCCCCCCCGTGGACACAATTTGCAGAGCGTATCCATGGAGATAAGGGAGTATGAAGACCCCGTGTCTACCTCCATACTGCAGGGGGACCTCTCTATCCTAACGGTGACATGCACTTTGTTGGGGCCATCGGGGGGGGGTTATATACTAAGTGTTGCTGGTGATGGGCCGATATGGAGTGGAGGTCCATGTGCTGCTCCGGCATAACCTGATGAGCTGAAAACTTCTGGCGTTGGCCTCTGGAGCAGCAAACCCTGGCGATGTGCCCCGATTTGTTGCATATGCGGCAGATCGCGTTTCGGAAACGGCACGACCTGCGCTCATGGTCTTCCCCACAGCTGGCACACGGAGCCGAAGGGGTAGAAGCCTTGCTCATTTTGGAGGACGATTGATGTGGGTGCTGGGATGCCCACTGGCGGACCTGTAGTACCTCCTCCTCATCCAAGGCATCGGAGCCGACCGTCGTTTGGGTGTGGTGGACCGCCTTGGCGCGGCGGTCTTGATGGGCCTTCCCGGAAGCGGTGGCCTCCCGGATCGCTTTATCCAGGTCCAGGTCATCCTGGCAGACCAGCCTCCTGCGGAGCTTGGGCTCCCTTAGCCCCACAAGGAACTGGGTCAGCAAGGTGTCCGCTAGGTGGGGAAAGGAACAATTGGTGGCCGCTCGCCTGAGCCCAGCCAAGAACTCGGAGGCTGGCCCTTGGACCTGTGCACAAAAGTCCATGCGCTCGGCAAACTTTGTGGGCTTCGGCGAGAAGTGGTTGGTCAATGCTTTCACCAGCACGGGGTAGGGCTCATCCTTGGTCTGCTTAGGTGCTATGAGGTCCTTGAGTAGCAAGACGGTGTCCATACCGCACGACCGAAGGAGATGAGCTTTTTTTCTTCCCCTGGTCCACAATGTCGTTGCAGTCGAAATAGTTCTCCAGGATCTCGAGCCAGGTCTCGCATTGTGTGGGGCGGGAGATATCGAAGGCAGCGATGCTTTCCTGGGTGGCCACCATCTTCCTGCTACACGTGGCGCGACAGCGGGAACGGCAGGAGTTAGCGAGCATAGGGAAGGAGCGGCGTGGTGCTGCTTCGTAGTCAGCGATGTGGTACTCGAAGTTATGGAGCGGTGCGAAGAGCTGCGCCTTCGATGAAAAAGCCCGATGCCGGCGGCGGAGGCGATTTTGGTGAGGCGACTCCATGTGGAGGCGAATGGCGTAGATGGCGGAGCCATGCGGTGCTGCTCTCGGGGTCAGCGGCGCGATGCTCGGAGCTAGGGAGCGGTGTGGTGAGCGGTGCTTCTCGAAGATGCTTGATGCTGGCTGCGGTGGCAAATTCGGCGTGGCAGCTCACGGCGATGTCCGGAACGTGGTCTCTGTTCAGAGGGAGATGAATCCCATCCTCGTCGCCAGTGAAAAGTACGCAGACGGAAAGTGATTTCAGCAAAGCGTACTTTATTTGATCAGGAACAAGACAATCTTGCCCGGCTTGCAGGCCAGCTTATATTCCCCGAGAAACCGCCACCCAAAACACCCCCCCACTTCCTAATAGGTTATTTACAGTGGCCGAGAGTCCCATTGGCTTCTCGGCCAGGAACCTAGCCCCCTGATTGGAGCAGGCTAGGATCCGCATAGTCCATTGTCTCTTGGAGCGAAAGTCGACATTTGTATCTAGACTTGTCTGGACTTGTCAGGACTTGATACACTACACTCAGTCTCCCAGATCCTAATCCAGCACTCTAACCACTATACAGTTCTGGCTTTCATGACTGAAAATCTGTATATGCATACATATCTCAGTAAGGTTTCCCAGGTTTGCAGGGTTTCCCTGCCTTTTGTTTACACAAATCAGGAGTGATTTTGAACTCTCTCTCCAAGGAGATTTGTCTGTCCCTTCTGTCCCCTGCCAGTAGATGAAGACTTTTTTGTTTTATTTGGCATTCCCTTACTAATTCTTACTAGCCCTCCTCCCTGTTTGTTGTGTGTGTTTTACAGGATTATATTTTATATATTTAGATTATGTTTTATTTAATTGTTTCAGAAAAAGATCCCAATGAAGGAAAACTGTATCCTAACTGCACTCAATTAATTTTTAAAAATTAAAATGAACAAAATACAAAAATTATTCGTGAAATACAAAATACATAAGATGAGTACAAAATATATTCAGGTATTCAATAGTTATTAGTTGTTATATTGGTTGTTAACGATGTGACGTCTCTGGTCAGTTTTTCAAACCAGTAATTCAATCAGATAATATACCCAAAGGACATTTTAAATGTCACAGGTGTGCGGCTTGTACCCTAAGTTGGGAAACGAAATATGTGGACTTCCCAGAAATTAATTATAGGAAAGTGTTGACATCATATTCATCATGTTTTACAAAATGAGTAGTTTATCTCATCCTTGTGGGATGACCATGAGAGCTGTAAAGACTCGTCTTCTTGAGCATAACTCAAAACTTAAACATCAACATGCAGAGGCACCACTCGTGGAACATTTTGTATCTAAGGGGCACAGATATGATGATTTCAGATTTGTGGTTCTGGAGATGATCGAGCCTAACAAATATTGTAGGAAAGACATTCGTAAAGTCTTATTGCGCAGGGAGGCTTTTTGGATTTTTAAAGATAATACGAGCTATTTGTTTGGCCTGAATGCATCCTTGGATCTAGCATGTTACTTGTAACACCCATTAAGTTCATAGTGCTTAAACAACAGTATCATTACATTTTGTTTTATGATATGGCACCAATAGGTTGCTTGAATAGAAAATAGTTGGCAACCCTATAGGAATACACTTTAAATAAATAGGGGTAAGTCTTTGCAGTACCTGTACTTACATACGAATGTAACTGTATAATAGTCTATGATGACATCTTACAGCAGTTAAGGCATCTTACAGCATTTTGCCCTATGTAGAATCATCAGGAATTTCCTCTCAGTAACATTTTGGTGAGTTTATACCTTTAGCAAAATCATTTTTATGGGTTTTTATTGATTGTGTAAATTCTAAAATGTTTTATAGATGACATGTTTTATAGATATATAGAAGAAAATCATGAATTTCTTGAAATGTACCAGTTGAAAAACTGACCAGACACGTCACATGTAAGAAATTATTTATTATTACAATATTGTTGATTATGGGTACAATTACCATGGATTCTGATGCAGTATTGTTATCAGTGTTATTCTACAAGGTTCTTCATTTTCCTTCATCTGTTCAGAAGATGAATGGTTGAACATTCCGGAGATCATCGTTAACAACCAATATAACAACTAATACTATTGAATACCTGTATATATTTTGTACTCATCTTATGTATTTTGCATTTCATGAATAATTGTTGTATTTTGTTCACTTTAATATTTAAAAATTAATTGAGCGCAGTTAGGATACAGTTTTCTTTCATTGGGATCTTTTTCTGAAGAATTTCTTGGCTGTTACCATTTACTTTAAGCTAGTTATTTAATTGTTTTACATATTTTATATATTTTAAATCCTTTTTAATGGCTGAAATGTTTTAGTATTTTGTTCTAAGGTTCGCCACCTTGAAGATCCCGAATTGGGTAGAAAGGTGGCTTACAATTTTTTAAATAAATAAAAATAAATATAACTCTATTAGCACTGAATCAGCACTAGTAGATACAGATTTTTCAGTTGAATGGTGGAAAGACCTTTACTATAACGGGCCTACCTTGAATTTTAAGTTAGTTATATGAATGACCAAGTATGTCTTTTTCCTGCACAAATAATATATTTAGTGTAACAGTTTTGTCACAGTTGAATTTAATCCCCCCATATTTACATGACCTAATATTTTAGAATAGTTTTTGAATTCAAACACAAATGTAACTGTTTTGGTTCAATTTTCCCCTCCAGTTTGAGCAATTTCTCTTCCACAATTACTTGTATGTTATTTATTTAAAAGGGGGGGGGAGTCTAATAGTAAGAGGATAATTTTAATAATTTTGTTATTTATGCTGTTGTTAAAAGCTACGTACATTTAGCCATGATATATGAAAATATAAAAATGTATACAAAACCATACAGATAAAATATACTCTATGCATGCTCACACTTTTAAAATAGGATGGCTAACTATTTTGAGTTTGAGAACATTTTCTTCTAAAGGACTGAAAATAAGAAACCCTATCTCTTGACTTGGTTGCATATTGCCAATCAAGGTACTAAAGCTTGTGTTTATTGTTTCGATAAATGAGTTATTAGCCGATGGTTGAAAGAGTTGAAGAAAATATGATAGTATAATCTACTTATAATTTATAGTCTATGGACTATACATACATTCAGGAAAATCAGAAACAATTTTGGCTGTTGTCTATACCAGCCACTCTTATATTAGACATAATAATATGCTTTGGTGATTTCTTTTTTAAAATGGATCTCACAAAAGTCTAGTACAAGAATATAAGCAGTAGCCATTTCCCTCTCTTCCAGGTATGCATCATTTGTTCTGGATCAGCACCACTTCAAGACATATTTCTTCAAGAACACCATGATAGTGGCCAGGATGAAAGTAGGATACTGATGGATGATTTGGGGTTGAGCCAGGTAACCACTATGAACATTAGGGCCTTTGTTGCAAAAGGGTATAATTGGCTTCGCTCAGAGTATTGGCAGTATTGTAAAAAAACAAAAACAAAAAAGTGAGCATTTAATGGGTCATTTTCTTGCTTTCTGGCAGGATCAACATAGCACCTTTAATGCCATTATAATTTAACATGAGGCTGTTCATAAATAATTAGTGAAAAGGTAAGTGAGTCACAATCAATTTAGTACAATTCCAAGGATACTTCATACCTTTATTATGCATAGGTTTCTCATATACTAAGAATAATGGCTTGGATCTATCCTGTGCACTGTGGTAGAGTTGCACCACATGAATGGCAATTTCCTGCGTCCCACCTCTTACTGCAGTTTTGTATAACCTCCAAAATTGTGCTCCCATAGGTCAGTGAATCCCCAGGAACACCTGGGGAAGGGGGTCAAGAGAACTGCAATGAGAGGAGACAATTGGAAAAATTGTCCTCCCACTATTCCACAAACAGAAGGGGAGGTTATGTTTCAAGCCAATGTCAGACTAGTGCTTAACACAAATGATTCAAATTCAGTGGGCTACATGAGATAGTAGATTTGTACATTACAGGTCTTTTGTTCAGTTATTGGTTAGTAAAATAGAGAAGTGGCAGAAGTAACCATTTTGCTCTGGATTCATACACTATTATGCTAATGCGCACGGTATGTTTGTATAAAGCAAGAGAGTCTCTGTCATTTTTGGCAAACTGTTTACTAGAGTTTATTCAGTAAAATAGTACTCTGTAATTAACCTATACCTTGGTATATCTTTTGAAGAGAGACGCAGCTGCTTATAAACAGTTTTTGTGTATACCTATCCCACAAGAATCCTTGTTTTCTTTTTGTTTCTGATCTCTTTGTGTATGCTGTTAATTCATTGTAGGCCTGGTCAACTTTTTTTCTGTCCTAAAACATGCCATTAATTCCTTGATAAAATCTTGAGATTATTGTAAGGGAACCATCACATTTTTAGATAGCAAGCCAACATAAATTCCAAAAGCCTAAAAAACTTATACTGCCCAGTTGACACATATGCACTCTTTCATATATCCCAGTTTCATGTTGATCTGGGTGTGAGGTGGAATGGAAAATATGTTTGTAGTGAAAGGAAAATAGTTTTGTGAATTCCTGCTCCCAAGTAGGTCATGTCTTTGCACTTTAGAAGGACTGCATTTCTTTGACCATAAGGTATATCAAATGCAAGTGTTGCTGAAAAATGCTGGGAACACCCATGTTGTGCAGCAGTTTTGCACAAAATTGTGAAGTTCACAAATGGATAATGGAAGATGGGACTTGATGTGCATTCATCCCATTGGCATTTTGGCCCCATAAAATTAGTAGCATTATGCAAATGTATGTACCTAATAATTAGTAGTGACCTTCCCACAAGCTATGAACAAAAGATGTGGAAGTTGTTGTAGTTATGAGAATGCCAAGCCTGCTTGTCCATCATAAAGAATGAACAACTTGCATAGATAATACAGTTTTGTGGCACAGAGATGAGTCTTCCAAAACAACCATCACCTATGTGGGCTGCAGCATATGCACTGTTCAATTTATAAAACGTTTTTAAAATTGTAAAAATCACACAAAGCAAACCCTCTTGCCAGTTTCAGATTTAGTATTTTTAAAGGATACGGGTCAGCTCAAACCAAAGATTATTATTATTGTGTGTGACAGGCAGCTGCCTAAGAGCAAACATCACACAAAATTGTCTGTGCTACTAAAACGAAAAGAAAAAGAAAAAAAATCCTGTTCAGTCGTTCAGCGAATGATTCCCAGAAGTGTAATTCTCATTTGTATCAAGTATTCAGTTGCACAGAGACACATTAGCAGCCACCCTGGCCCTTTTAATATTTAAAAGCGTTATTTTTGCTGTTCCAAAGAAGCAAGATTATTGATGAAAGTGGGAGAAGGAGTTGTGAACCAGACACAATCTGGGTGGGTATCTGGGGGCCTCAGACCACAGTAGCTATACACAGAGGTCTTCATTTATTAACATTGTGTTGATCCTTGGGGGAAAACAATATAATGTAACTTTTAATTAGAACAACCCAAATATCACAAAATAGTAAGTTCTGTGAGGCCTCATGATGACCTGGCTAGATGTTAAGTACAAAAAGTGGGAGGGGGAGATGTTTTCAGGGCATGTTGAAAGTCTCCCTCAAACTCTGTAGAAACATTTTCCTAGTTCTTTTTTATCACTTCCTACATCTTTTGTTTCTTTGTTTTGTCTCTCTCTAGGATTCTGCTAAAGCACTCTCTATGTTTACGGGAGAAGAGGAGATTTTTGCTTTTCAGCGTACCATCTCCCGACTCACTGAAATGCAGACTGAACAGTACTGGAAGGAAGGGGACAGAAACAAGAGCCTATTGTAGCTTAAAAGGATACAGTGTCAATAAACAAACATAAACAGAGATTATAACAAAGAAACGTTCTAGTTCAATCAGAAAATATTTTTGATAACTGCATCAACTGTTGCACTTCAACATTAAAAATACAAAGGTTTGAGAAACAAAGGTGGAGGGTTTACTTGCTAGGACACTTGAGTGGTGGACAATTTTATGCCTTTTTATAAGAAATTCATTTTTCTAACCTAAAGTGAAGTATGTACTGAAACAGAATTAAATACTCGTCACTCTGTGAACTGAATAGAGTAAATGGGCAGAATGCAAACTGTCCCTCCGTCTGCAGCCTGTCCAAAACTACAGCTTTTACAAACCAAATTCCCAAGCCTGGAAGTTCAAAAGCACATTCAGTCACCTTCAAGTGTTTTGCTTAGGCTAGACGTGAGGTGTAAAATGGCAGGTCCTGTTTGATCCCTTTGAATTATTCTGAATTTGTTCTTCCAGTACCCATTGAAGTTTCAGATCTTCCAAATCCAATAGCATATTGTTGTAACTGGTTCCTCTAAGGTATTTTTGTGCCTTTCTGAGTATAATTATTTTAAGAATCTTTTACGGACACCGTACAAAGGGCCTGATCTCTTTAATAGCTGGATGTATTGGCTATATGTATAATGATTAAAAAATGTAATTAAGTGAATGCATAGAAAACACAAGAAAGATAGTGTTTGATGTGAACTGCCACTGAGTACTGTAAAAGACATCTTATGCAAGGGAGTCTTAAAACATGTGGGTTGAATTTGTACCTATATTCAGAACTGAATCTCAGCAAACCCTGAAAGACGATCTAGCTCTCACATTCGTGCACATATATATTTATGTTGAGGACCTTCTGTGTTCACAAAACAATTAATGACATGCATTTCTAGTTTGTGACAAATCATCAGCCAGCTCCAATTCAGTGGTCCTGCTACACTGAGTGGCAACGTCATACGTAGTCATTATACTGTGTGTTTCCAACAATACAAGAGAAAGCAATTCACAAGAACACTGCAACACCGGCACACATGCCCACAGTAGCCACAGCAAGGAAGGTAACACAACAACCCTATGATGCCATCTTGAGATGTACAAAACTCACAGTGTGGGAAGTAGGCTTGCCAGCCTTGAGGTGGGGCCTGGAGATCTCCGGCTTTTACAACTGATCTCCAGCTGACAGATATCAGCTCCCCTGGAGAAAATGGCTGCTTTGAAGGGTGGACTCTACGGCTTTGTACCATGCTGAGTTCCCTCCCCTCCCCAAACCCCGCCCTCTCCCAGATCCACCCCCAAAGTCTCCAGGTATTTTCCAACCCAGAGCTGGCAACCCTAGTGGGAAGCATAACCTGCAGACTATCGAAGCAGAATAGGCAGAAGGCCAGCAATTAATTTCTAGCCTGTGTTCCCTGTATTTACTTTCTTATTTTAAATGTTTCTATCTTACTTTATCTCCTTGGACTCAAGGCGGTGCACAATGTAGCAACCAAATTACAAAGGTTATAGATTAACAAAATTTAAAAGATTCAATCTCAGAGTATATGTCTAATCCTAATGGCGAGGAATGGTGCAGGATATAAGTAGAATATAATTAATTATTAATTGATTAATTAAAGGGCCTGAGGTGAGTAACAGCTGGAACAGAGATCCCTATGGCATTGATAGCTCCATGACAGACAGAGGTGCAACTGGTGCAGCTTTCTCCAGTAATGTGCTTTTTGGCACAGTGCACACTTGTTCTATACAGGAGACACTACTACAAGCTTTTTTTGTATTTACTGTGTGTGTGTGTGTGCTTGTGAGCCTGGAAGTCATGGTGAATGCTAGTGAGGTTAGGATGTTTCAGAGAGGTGGCTTTGATATTACCTGCCTCTGTGTCCTGGCCCTGGTATTCCTTGGAGGCCACCAGGGTCAGCCCTGCTTAGCTTCCGAGATCTGATGAGGTTGGGCTTACCTGGGCTATTCGGGTCAGGGTTCTGCTACAAGCGCTTGAGGTCAGGACTAGGGAGGATTATTTAGCCAGTACATGTTTTTCCAGTACTGCAGGAATGGAAAGGCAATAAGGCATAACTAATAGTGAAATGTGGAGAAGCACTGCTTTGATCCATGGTCTCCCATTCTCCCCCTTGGTTATCTGTGTTAGGATTATTTGTCCTAACACATTCAGTTGTAGGAATGGAGGAGAGGTTCCTGTTGGATGGAATCTAGAGATAACCCTATATCCCTTTGCTGCCTTATTTCCATACTTGGCTTATTGTACAAAGTGTCCTTTCACCAGAATTCCCATCATTAACATTTCCAGTTCCTGTTGGGGACTTATAAATTGTGTGTGTAGTGTTGTGGTTGGAATCCTGTCCTCTGTTACAGTAGTGGGGCAGAGTTCAAGGGATACTCTCTGTATGTGTTCTTCAGGTTCCTCCTCCTCTTTGACATGTATAATGTTATACCATCAGAGCTGGGGTGAGCTGTGGGCAAACATACTTTCCTCCAAACTCCTACTTTTCTCTTCATATGCCCTTGTGCTGGCAGTGCTGGACCACTTGGGCTGTTGCACTGGTGATAACATTCTCTAAATCAGCATGGATCATATGGCACTGTGCTCTGCTGTTACAGGCATGCTTGGGAGTAAAACCAATCCTATCCAGTGGGTAGAACTTGAGGATTAATTCAGGCCCTTGATAACAGAAAGATTTTAAAAATGAATTAATTTGTGTCTGGCTTCAGTGTGTGTGTGTGTGGGAGGTTCTGAAACGGTTTTAAGATTTCTATTTCTATCTGATGATTGAGAACACTAAACAACTGGAGGATTAGGGTTTAAGCTGGCCCCAATATACAGTATTGTTATGTGTAAAAATTAGAAATAGCAGATTTTGAAGTGAGTAATGTAGTGAAAAAAATATTACCTGAACTTCTTCACAAATAAAATTATTGCACTTTTAATTCATTTTCCCATTCCTATACTTTTAACTAGCTCTAAACACATTATCCAAAGAAAAATAAGCATGCCTAAGTTTTGTGGAAATCAATGAGAGTTACATTTGTTGCAGTCTCCTTGATTTCAATGGTGCTTAAGCATCATTAATAATATCTGGATCTGTAGCCTTGTCTCCTTTGGCTAGTTGCTCCATGGATTGGTATTTTTCAGTTTCCAGTCCTTCTGCTCATTCTTAAGGAGCGTTAATATAAGACCTGAGAATGTGCGGTTGCTACAGAAGGCCAAGCCATGCTTGATATTTTCTGGGGGGCATTTAATTATTTCTACAATTACTGTGATTGCAAATATTGAAAAATTAGGTAGGGTTGTAACTAAATTGTACATGCAAGATTTATGGCAGACATCGTGCGGAGTATCTTTATTCCAAAATTAAATATAATTATTTTCATGCAAACCAGTAGTGAAAAGAATTTGCTATTTTTTAATAGGAAAGCAAGAAATATATCATTATGTCGTTTAAAAGTGCTTTTTAAAAAGCTATGGTTTTTATATTTTGGTAATATACTAGGCTCAGGTAGAATGGAATTGGGTGTATGTAGTCATTCCTCCTATCTGTAGTGACAATCCCAGAGAGAGATATTTGCCAAATGAATACAAGTGCTACAAACATTCCTATCAGTGAAATACTGTTGCTAATTGCGGGGGGCCTAAAGTACTGTTACTTCCATTATTTCAAAATCAGCACCCAAATATGTGTTCATATTATATTGATACATTCATTTTTTATTACACTACAATAAAATAGTGGATAGGTGGGGCAGTCAGTGTAATTCTGTTGACATCAATAAAATAAATCAATGGGAGTAGCTTGCTGATATGGCCTCACCTTCCTTAATAGATACAAAGTTACAATATAAATATATAGAAACAAGCACACAGACTTGCAGAGGGCATCTCATTTCACCTACCCCAATATTTCATCTTTCCCTTCCCTGAAAGCCCCCCAAACCTTCCCCCTTTTCCTGCCTCCTTCTCTCCTTCCAACCCATCAGCCAGCCAACCTTTATCTGCCCCCCACCCCTGGTCTTCAGTTCCCTGCTTTCTTGGCCCCAGCAGCCTCTACTTGAGAAAACTGTGACCCAGTTGTATGGTGCCTGCCATCAGGCCCAGTTGCTCAGTGGACCTACAAGGACTTGTGGGGGCACCCTGCTTACCCCTGTACTCACCTTCCCACATATTTCCTCTTTCTCTCCTCCTGGCAACTCCCATATCCTCACCTTCTCCTGTTTCCTTATCTTCTTCCCACCCACCAACCATTCTACCTTTTATCTGCTCCCCATCTTCAGGTATATGTATTTATTTATTTCATTTATCTTCCGCCTTTCTCCACAATAAGGAACCTATGATGGCCCAGTGCTTTCTCAGCTCTTCACCCCTCCCAGTTTCCCTATTCCTGCAATTGGGAACCTTTGTTACAAATGGACTGTTTTTAGCAGCTCTTCTCCACAATTTCACTCCGCCAGACACATTCTCTGCTCCCTAACTCTCTTGCTGCCAACTCCTAACAGCTTTCCTAACTGCTATTTTCCAACTGCCTCTCTCCTCTGCATACCATCAGCTCTCATTGGTCACTCGCAGGGTACGTTCAGACGGGGCATTTATGCCGGTATAGATGCCGGTTGGAATCAGTGTACTTACGGGCGATCACATGGCGAACATCTGCCTTCCATCCCTAACCGTTGCAAAGAGCTTTAAACCGGGAAAGATGAAATATTGGGGTAGGTGAAATGAGATGCCCTCTGCAAGTGCACCGGTTCCAACCGCAGTATCCCCCGTCTGATCGCTCTCTGCTGGTGTAGAGCTACTTCCATGTGGAAGCCCCCCCCCGCTTGCGAAAGCTGCCTGAGGCTTCCGCTTTTTGTCTGCCATTTTTTTAAGCGTGTGGCTGTATGCGCATGAGTGGAGCTTTGCACCAGCATTAATAAAACCAAAGTTTAAATGGTAACTCGTTTTAGCATTTAGACGAGTGTGGGATCTCGCGGAGACCATTTTCGAGTCAGAA